CGGGCAACAATTGAACACATGAGAGCTTTAACCTATGCAATTTTCTATATAATCAATATTTCAAAGGGCATAACTCTTTGAAAAAGAATTGATCGGCACTGATTTTTGAACTCGTAAAAGACATTGATGATATTAATCTATAATATAAATTTCATAAAAATCTGGCAACAATTGAACACATTAGAGTGCTAACAATGTAATTTTCCATATAACTAATGTTTCCTAGGGCATAACTCTTTAAAAAATAATTGATCGGCGCTGTTTTTCGAACTCGTCCAAGATAGTGCTGATATGAACCTATGATATAATTATAAGTTTCATAAAAATCTGGCAAGAATTGAACACCCGTTAGCGCTAACGATGCAATTTTCCATATAATCAATGTTTTCAAGGAAATAACTCTTTAAAAAATAATCAATCGGCACCAATTTTCGAACTCGTCCAAGATAGTGCTAATGTAAACCTTTGATAGAAGTTTCATAAAAATCTGGCATGAATTGTACAAATGAGAGCGCCAACGATGCAATTTTCCATACAATTAATGTTTCCAAGGTGCATAACTTTAAAAAAAATAATTGATCGGCACTGATTTTCTAACTTGTCCAAGACATTGCTTATATAAACCTATGATATAAGTTTCATAAAAATCTAGCAAGAATTGTACACGTGAGAGCGCTTATAAAATCGGACAGACGGACGTACAGACGGACGGACGGATGGACAAACGGACAGACGGACGAACGGACAGACGGACGCCCGGTATTTCTATGTCCCCTGCAATGCGTTGGGCGGGGGACAACAAAGACAAAAGACACAAAGTATCGATCTACGAGTACTCCGAGTTACTGAAAGATAGTTCAAAGCCAATAACAACGAATGAATAAATAATGTTCTTACAGATTAAAATATCAATAGGTATATTAATGAGTTTACATCTGATCACTGTTTTTCTACCATTGCAATTGTCGAAGACGAATTAAACGTCGGTTGATTCAAAACAGAATCGTAATTGTCGTAATTATATTTCATATGCTTCTGAATCTTCCCAAATTAACAGACCTCAGTGAGAGTCAAAATCTTCAAATTTGTTTCGTTCCCTCAATTACAAAATAAGTCCGTCATTTGCAGAATAAGAACATTTTTTTAAATAATGACTTTCGAACATATTATATTAAGTCAGCTATCACCAAATGTGAAAATGCTTGGTCTATAAAGGTGCTTTTTTCAGCAAAAATGAGATTTCATGTTAGTAAAAAATTGCCGGACTCAATGGGTGGGAATTGTAGAATTGAAAATTGTTGCTTCTTCGGGTCAATTATCGCTGAAATATTTGAGGGTTAATAAAAAAATAATAAAAAGGACAAATTGTTTTTGGTTTTCGTGTTCCTGATGAATATAATTCCAGAAAAGCACATCTAAAACACCACATTTTGAAAGCGGTATGTTCATATGCTAAAACGGTTTTTACCTGGCATAATTAAATATCTAAAAAAAGAAACGAAGCAGAAGATATCAAAGGGGCAATCAAACAATAGAACAGCTTATAATTGCAATCAAAGATTAGACATCGTTTACATTTTAAACTTGAGGATCTGTTATCTGAATTTATAAACAATGTTAGATGTCAATTAAAATGCAAACAAAAATACAAATTAGTACATTACATAATATTTTCAAAGAGTGTAATATAATTTCTTGTTGCAGTCCTCTCTATGAGTGTACGTGTATAATCACAGCTTGTAGTCACCATAGGAGTTCCCGCGTAACAATAAATCTGAAGATCATAAACGGAATGTTCTTAAAATTAAAGATTATTTCGTATATATTTGTAAAACAAGTTGAAGCTGGATTTTTATTAAACGTCAGTTACATCAGACTTCAGTAAATAGAAATAATGCTGCTTCAACAGGGGGCTATGAAACATTGAATTTTAAATATACTCCCTATGAACATGTTAGAACAGAAACCTCAACATCTGAATTTTCTGAAAAAGAACCAAAATATCGTCTTCCATTGAAACTAAATTGGAAAGAGTATCTACTGGTATTTAAGACACTCTTTTATCTAATTGCACTACATAGACATAGAAAAATGGAATCCAAATGACTAGTTGTAAATGACAACTTAAATTTACATCATTTCATGGCATAATCCGGTAACTTTTAAAAGCAGGCAAACTTGGTGTTTTATGGCTTGGGATAGTGTGAGTTTTTTTTCTGATTCAGTTTACTTAACTTTGAAAAAAAATCCCGAAATTCTAAGTAAATTCAGAGAAAGTAACCATGCTTTGTTCAGAGAAAATTTTAGATGGAAAAACATTGGCCGCAGTGAAAGGAAATGCAATTTATGCAACTCCGGCGATATAAGTGATGAATTTATAATTATTTGTTTTGCTGTTTTCAGTTGAAAAACGAACATAAATCATATATTGTAAATATTTACATAGAATACCAAGTATTATGTCAATTACCTCACTATTTGGTAATGAAAACAATTGGTTTAAAACGTGTGTTTATTCATTAAATGTATTAATAAAAAGATGAGTCCCTCCTTGTACATATATTTTGTCATCCTTAATTTCTTAATATTTTGTTTAACAGTGTATTATATATGTATGATTGTGTACTTCATTTTAAATACCGGTAATCATGTTACATGTCACATTGGTGGATAGTTGTCTCATTGGCAATCATACCACATCTCCTTATTTTTATACATAATACTGCATTTGTTTACCTTAAATTTTATTGTATTTTTATTAATATTGTAGTGTTTCTCGGTAAATTTATACGTAGTTTTTGGGTAAAAATAAATATTTTTCTATATGTACTACCAGTATCCAGGGTACATCTGAATCCGCTAATGAATTTTTTTTTTTCACACACTTCGTTTTGATAACATTGTTACCACGACATGTTAAAACAAATGGGAAATGTGTCAATGTGACACAGATGATACCCCGCTTGCATATAACGTTATAAAGGGACATATCTCAAGAACGGTAAAAGTGACGCTACCAAAATATGTACTAAGTCTTGATCTCAGTTTTGTGGTAATAAACAATGTGTATAAGATTCCTAACATTGTGTTGAGGCAAACTAAAGTTAAAGAATGGAAACGAAAAATTCAGCATTTTTTTCATTTGTAAAGGGGCATATCTCTAGAACGGTAAAAGTGACGCCACCATAATTCAAACTCGATCTGTGTTTTGTGGTTATAAGCATTGCGTATAAGTTCCATAGCATTTTGGTTGAGGAAAACTAAAGCTAGAGAACGGAAACCAATTTTGGGACGTACGGACGTATGGAGAGACGGACAAGGGTAAAACTAAATACCCCCTCCACTACGGCATGAAAATATCTTACTAGGTAATAACTATGTTAATGTGGATTTTTCTTTTAATAACTCAATTTCCTTCATAATCAATTGTAAATCTTTTTCCTATTACAACATAGGCTCAAAAATGTTATGCAAAGCTCTATTCTTCCGGAAGGTTCATCTTAGTATTTGCATCTTATTAAAATCAGAACAGTACATTTATATTGTTCCTTATAGACTACGAGATTTCTCAAAAGTATTTATTTGTTTTTTAGTTCCACATTCATGCGAAAGAAAACTCCACGCCGAAGTTACATTTCAATCCTTTTTACACAATCATGCCTTCATTTGATTTTTCGTAGTAACCATGATAGTACATTCCATAGTACGTCAATTGTGTTCATTCACTTGCACAATACGATTATTGTTGTTTTGTTTTTATCTTTCGGTGAATGAAGGAGACAATTTGTATTACAATTTGTTTCGTTTGTGATATGTTATTTCTGATTGACCAAACGCTTATCTATTGTATGTTCGTTTTGTAGCATGAAAACAAGAGATTGTGCAACCCATCATAAATTATTATCATAAGATCCTTATTACATGTCACTACAACAATGTCAGGACATTAACCTAGGATATTATTGTATCCCTCAGTGTGAAAGAAAATTAAAAGTGATTCATGTATTCAACCGTATAAAAGTGGCACATGTTTTTATTCCTATATTTTTCATTATCCAGTACATCATAGTTGTGTTGTTGCATAAAGAACATAACTAAATAAAAAAAATATTACAAGTATAATAAATCAACCCCACTTTTTGAAAATCAGGCGACGACACAGCATTACAACTGAAACATGTATTTATTTTTTGTACGTTCCTAGTAACATACTTAGTACATTCCATTGTCTGTCACTTGTGTCAATTCACGTGCACACTACGATTGTTGTTGTATTTGAATCTTTCGGCCAATGAAATGGGACGTTACAAGTTGTTTGTTTGTGATACGCCAGAATGTATTCAAGAATGATCAAATGCTAAACTTGACTGCAGTTCAGTGTTACCAGTATTTCAAACTAAAAAATCACATTCAGTTTATTCAATAAAAAGGTCTTCCTCAAAAGTTTCTCTCTAACTTCAATAGTTTTTGACAAAAGTGCAAAGAAAGAAAAACCAGAATTAACTTCTATAAGGAGTCTGTTCACAGTTTCAGTCATGCAATTTATTTGTAGATCTTATTATGCTAAACATCTTTGCTTTTTACAATTTCTCTCTATCTATGAAATGAAACAAAAAAATGATAAAACCCGTCTTTAAAGGGTAATAACTCCTGTAAGCTGTCAATTGACAATTTCAGTTAAGTTTACTTATTTGTAGCCGAAAATATTTGCTACTCACAATTTCTCTCTTTCTATAATAGTTTCTGCATAAAACCCAGAAAAGGAACAAAATTAATGTTTCAAGGTCAATAACTCCTATAGGGGGTTAATTGACTATTCTTGCATGTTGACTTATTTGAAGATATTATTTTGCTGAAGACTTTTGCTTTTCTTTTGATTTTCCTGTCCCCATGATTGATTGACTGATTGATTCTCTTTATTTCCTCCAATTTATTGAAGATTTACATTTTTTAACACACGTATACTAATGACAAGAAAAGAACAACATATAATTACAAACTACAATTAAAGCACATTTTTTTTACATATACATATATATCTTAATGCTACATTTGCTTGATGGCAAATATTTTAGTTTCCAAAATTAAATCTATGCTGAGATAATTCGACTTTAAATTTTTCGTACAGATAAAATATACAATGTATGATCTGCCAAGCAGCACATCATGTTTCTCCAGTTGTCAGAGTCCACGGATTGCATAAAATCTGTAATTCCACCAAGTAAGGCTACGACTACATTGCCATCTTCTTGTTGAAAAAAGCGTACAGATTCCTGAACTGGTAAAACATCAACAATTCCGTAAAACATGTAATTTCTTGCATCCAATTGTGTAAAATTTGAAAAGTGATTTTAACATATATACCCAATAAAATTGTCATGTAAATGGTGTATTTTTGTCAATTTATTCCATTTACCAGAGAAGAAATTTCTTCCACTACCGATTTTCTACAGAAAATACCAAAGAAAAGCAGAATACTAGCATACGAAATTGAAAAATTAGGGTTTTTTTTTACAATTACTGCAAACGTTTACCTCTGAAAAAGACATTCATGGATTTTCCTCTTTTATTTTGGACTGCCTTTTATGTTTATAGTAAGTTTTTGTTCTGCATTTTTGGTTTTAGCTTTACAAAAATGATACCGCACAAGGGTTATATTATAGGTATCATAGTTTGTATTTTTACATATGATGTAATTTAAATTGTTGTCAATCTCCGTGAAGGTAATTCAATTAAGGAACAATAAGAACGAAAATAAAAACAACAGATATCTTATGCTATAATAATGTAGATCGGAATACTCTATTAACAGATATGTCTTGATTGGTAGAAAAAGCCGCCAAACATCGACTTGCTTCGCAAATACATTGTTGTTGCCAAAGACAAAGAATAAAATTGGTATTAGAACTTTGTATAAGAAATATATATTGAAAATAAAAGAAACAAAGTCCAAAAAAGGAAGATAAATGTTAATGAAAATAATAATTTAAAAAAATAAATAAAATAATCAAACAACAGTGTGAACATCCAGTCAAGGTCAGTTGGAGGTATGCATTGTAGACCTTCATGATTTGCTGAAAAGAAAAGAAAATAAAAGATAATCTGTTGTGTAAAGAATAAACATCGGCAAAGGTCAATGTTTGAATTAATAGTGCGAATTCAATTTTACAACACGTTACTTCAGATATACAAAAAGGGTAAACTTAAATTCAAATAACTAGCATTCATATAGTACTTTAATTGTTTCATTAACAGTAAAACACGAGTAAATATACCAATATTTATAAATCATACAGCATTAGTAAAACTGCACTGTCTCGTACAAGTTCGGAGTAGATTTTAAGTAATTAGAGTTTATTTAATATAACTACTATAGTACTACCACATATGTATAACATGGTGCATTTTAATTCCTACTTCGCTTACTTTTATAGCCGACTATGGGTTTACTCATTGTTGTAGGTCGAAATGTGCCCTATTGTAATTTACATCCTCGACTTTTAGTCTCTGGTGGATAGTTGTCTCATTGGCAATCATACCATATCTCTTTATATAACTTATATTCATTACTTGTCAATCTAGAGACACCATGACATTTTATCGTCTCTCTAAAATTTACCCCGAGATTTCTCAGAGAACATTTATATATATAAACACCGATTAGTCTTATCAATTGTTTAATGGCGAGACTGCTTGCATGCATTTCCAACTAGGTAAGTTTTTGCTAGGCTTTGTGTATTCCATTGCTTTTACAGTTTGGCTGTTGATTCAGTTTACAGTTGCATACAAAATATAATTTTATAAAACGTACTTGTATTGTTTTCACAGTTCTACTATTAAGGCAGCACACCAAGTTGGTCCTGCTGCAGTAAGTAATTGCAAAGCATGAGATAAAGCAAAGGAAAAACCTTGTAGATCTGCCTTTATGTATCTGTGAACTGGATGGTTGCCATGGTTCCCACAGTCGAAGCTCCAGTTGCAAATTGGAGCACAATGACTATATTTTCCTTGCTCTAAATGACTGCACCTTAAATAACCAGTTTGGGCAATGTAAATGTCAGTTCCATCTTTAGCGCATACCCAATTTGATGATTGTTGCGAACTGAATAATAAGGAAGGAGAAAATATGTCGATAAAATTCTTAGAATATGTTAAAAAGATAAAAGAAGACGTGGAACGAGTGCCAGACTGAATTGGATCTCTAAATGTCTTGTCTGTGTGTTTTTTAGTTGATGTAGTGCTGATATCTCTTTTTTGTTGAGAAAGTCCATTGAGTATAATAATCAACTCGTGACCGAACAACACTAATAATTAACGCATGGGCTACGCGAATTCGTGAACAATTGTGTTGTTTGGTCATTCGTTGAATATTTTTCTATATTAGATTCCTCGATTAGTTATTTCATAAGAAAGAATCAAATGTTTACATTTTTAATTTAACAACACATGTAGAAAAAAAAATCCATAAAAATATATACATGAATCAACTTAACCTAAATATTCGTTAGCATAAGTGATAACAAATGATATAGAACTTGACTTTGTTAACAACAAGGATTTATCAAACGCTTTTATGTATTTTCAATTTAGACTTATATATATATATATATACAAGTCTAAATTGAAAACAACGTTCAAATATATATATATATATATATATATATATATATATATATATAATAGCGAGACGCAACTTGCAAGTTAACAAATTTTACTTTGTAAAACAATATTAATCTGGAGAGTATTGCAAACAAATAGAAAAATCAGTTGAACAGTTGTTAAATATATACTTCAAGTCTAAGATAAAAATTGATAACATACCCCCGGCATCCGCTTACCGGACACCTAAAATTTGACAGTCGGTACCATGTTGCACTCATCATTTATTTAAGACTTATTTCATCAAACGATCAAATTCATGTGTTCTAATGTCGGTAAAACACTATTCTAAAAATATATATAAAAACTTGCCCTAATATCATTTGTTTTTCTGAAAATTTATTTAAAAAAACCCGAAATATTATTCATCCAATACTTTATCTAAAGGACCATCAAGCTTCTCGATTCCTTAGCCAAGTTTATTCTATCTAGGAATAGTATGGCATATGCTCTGAAAAAACATTAAATTGACAATTGTACTTCTGAGAACTATGAAATAAACATTATAAAAACTTGTTGTATGAAGTGACTAATCTAGCGCAAAAGTCATTTTGTTTTCATTGTTTTCAAGATTAATTTATTACGCTCAGACATATTTATGTGCTTACATGCACGAGGTCAAAGTATAATATACAAATACAATGAAATATGTACGGAAGCCGGTTAGTGTCAAGGTGTAGATTTATTTTCAAGTCGTTATAACGACTAAGCTAACTTGTTACAACGACTTAGCTTACTTGTTATAACGACTTAATTAACTCGTTATAACGACTTAATTAACTCGTTATAACGACTTAGTAACTCGTTATAACAACTAAGCTTACTAGTCATAACGACTTAGCAAACTCGTTTATACGACTTAGCTAACTTGTTATAACAACTTAACTAACTCGTTATAACTACTAAGCTAACTCATTAAAACGACTTAGTAACTCGTTATAACGACTTAATTGACTCGCTATAACAACAAAGCTAACTTGTTATTACGACTTAGCAACTTTCTAAATTCAAGTACTTAACTATTCCCCCTTATATCTTGTCTTGATTTATTTTCAATTGTCTTCTTATTTAAAAATTTCTTAATTTCGACTTAATGCACATTAACAAGAAATGAGGTTGGAAGATGTACAATTGCAAAAAGGAAATTGAAGATGAAATACATGTTTACATTAATGTCCTAAATATATCGAAGAGCTCAAGCAATTTTTAGATAATGTAGAACTTTATAAGGGTGTCAAATTTAAAGACATTTAATGATAAATCTAAATTGTTTAATATGTCTTGATGAATTGTTCAAACGGAAGAGGTAAATTACAGAAGCCTATTTTTGGTTCTCTTAGTTTTATCAGAAGTGGATCAAGGAAAATTTAAACAAAGGGAGTGGTTGCATGTTAATAAGGGGATAAGGAAGGAGTCATACCTTATATTATATTACTTTTTTTAAAGAATAAGGACATTATCAGTAAAAGTCAACGAAACAGCAAAATAACACAAAAGATTAACATGCATAGGCACCTTTGACTTTTTATGATACTGTATACTGAAAATTCAAGGACAAGTCTATCGGAACATTGTTTGGTATGCTTAAATTCAGAAATTGGAATATAGTGCTAAAATTGAGGAGCGTGTGTACTAGGGCAAATTTAACTACTAGACTATTTGACTATAGAAAAGTTTTTGCTTTTCTTTTTACTTTCAGAAAATTGCCCTCCCTCAAGTTTGTTGATCTACTACTGATAAAACTAACTGAACCAAAAATAGGCTTCTGTGACTACCTCTTCCGTTTGAACAATTAATCAAGAAAATTAAACAATTTAGATTTATCAGTAAATAATCTAATTTTGGATGTAACACGTCTTCTGATAGCTTGAAAGCTTTTTGTCTATCAGCTCATAAATATAATTTTGTCATGTGACCGTGACGTCATCAACGTTTTTTTCATGATTTAGTTCTTGAAAATGGATTTTAGAATTAAAGTAAGGAATGACTGTAATATTTTATCTGTCTTTTCGAAAGACAATAAAAAATAGAAATAAGTTTGGTGTGGTTTAAAATTGGTTTAAAAAGTTGCTATCTCCTGGAGTACCAACTTCCAATATTTTTTTACTGGCTGTATACCTCTCTGTAACATGCTAATTATCCGTATATATATGCTAGATCAGAGAAAGTCGGGGAAAAAATTCCAGAGGAATCCATCGATATTCAGCAAAGATTGGATCTTTTGAAATCAAGTTACTACGCAAATCTAAACGGACCTTATCCCGATGTAAAAATTGAATGCGAATAGATCGAAAAGACCGCAAATACATGACTTTTGTACAAAAATCGAGACGACCTTTTCTTAAAATTGTATAAAAAAAAGTAAAAAGATGTCTACTTCATAAGAATATTTATCTTTAATTTTTCAACCTGAACTGATATACTTTTATATTGTTATATTCATGAAAAGACAATATTTCTATATTGAATTTTCATGTGACAAGAGCAGACTGGTGTACTCAAAAACTTAGAATGTGAACAATAAGTATATTTTAGGGAATTGTAACATGCTAAGGACTTTGTGGAACACTCCAAAAATTGGTGACCCGAAAGATCTTTAGATTTAGTATGTTTTTTTTTTCCATTTTTCTCTATCAATATGCAACAAAGATTGGCATTTTTCAGTTTCATAAGCTTCTCGATAAATACTGAACATAAAACATCGTGTATTTACACATAAAAAAGAAGATGTGGTATGATTGCCAATGAGACAACTCTTCACAAGAGACCAAATGACACAGAAATTAACAACTATAGGTCACCGTACGGCCTTCAACAATGAGCAATGCGTATATATCTATTAACACAGTTTAACAAATAATTTCTATTAAATGTACAGTTGTTATTCAGAAATACCTTTTGATCGGCGTCGTCACTGGCAGTGTTTTATTATTGATTTTCTCGACTCTATCATAAGAAGAGGTAATTTTCTACTGTTCTTTTTCACTAGATTTCCCACTGGGTAATCAGTGTGCACCACATTTTTGATGTTATTTCTTCCTAAACTGAAAAAAAATAGTATAGTCATTCCTTAAATGTCTTTAAATTTGATACCCATATAAAGTTCTACATTATCAAGAAATTGCTAAAGCTCTTTAATATATTTAGGACATTCATGTAAAAAATGTATTTCATCTTCAATTTTTTTTTTTGCAACTGTATATCTTCCAACTTCTATTTCTAATTAATGTGCACTTAGTCGAAATTTAGAAATCTATTAATAAGAACCATTAACTTGAAATTGGTAACAAGGAAATTTCAACTGGTGCGGAAATACTTGTTGGCCTTTTTATTCATACAAAGCATTTCACAATTTCACATCAAATGTAGAAAATACTTAAACTTTAAAACCACTCGACAGAAAAACAATTGAAATCAGATGATAGTACCTATATATGGAAATTTTATAAGTTTATCTCCTAATGAATGACAAACATAGAATTCAATGAGGATACATACAAATCAAGTATTTATTTAAAGTTTTTACATAGCGGAAACCAAAGCTTGAATATGCTATCAGACACAATGAAGAGCTTATTATTGTTGTAACAATCATTATTATGCTCGCCTACGATAGGAGAGGACTTATTATGTTTCAGTACGTCCGTCCGTTAGTCCGTCCAATAGCAGGGTAAGGTTTGGGCTTAGTCAGTTGATCATGAAACTGTGGTCCTATCAACTTGATACATAGGTCATTTGTTCACTATAATGTGAACTTTAAATATTATATGGAAGATCACGGTTTTGACCCCGATACACGGTTCACTAAACATAGAAATGTGGAAATTTGGAATTAGTTCATTCTTAGGTTAATATTTTTGGTTAAAATAGTTTACCATGAAGTTTTGGTCACATTAACTTATCTTTTCGTGCGTATTTTTTAGTATATTTTTCACTTTTGTACATATTTATTACCGGCGGTTTGTTACACAAAATATTTATTCTCATCCTGTTTGGCCAAAGTTATACTTTTCCATCAAAATCACAGTATCCAACGGTATATGCTAGTCATTTGTCAAATATTTGTCAGAAATGAACAACAACTTAAATTCTGCTCATTCCATAAAAATAATTTAAAAAGAGTTTTTCCTACACAAATTACACAAACCATTAAGTTGATCCTTTTAAATTTTTTATTTTTACATCTTGGAGAAATTTGATGTAGTTGACAGATATTAACCACTTTTTTAGAATCGGGTCGATTCGAATTAGACATATTGCAAATTATCCTGTCTACTGTTGAAGACATTTGTCAACACTGAGGTTGTGAGTTCGAATCCCGCACGGGGCAGTTGCACTCGACTCCAATCGTAATTGACTAGGATAGTCAGTTTTCATACCGAAGGTCGGTGGTTCTCTCCGGGCACTCCGGCTTCCTCCAACAATAAAAACTGACGCCACGAAATAGCACAATAGTCTTTAAAGTGGCGTTAAACACCAATCAATAAATCAATCAATCAATCGAACTTTAAATACCTTTTGTGTCGTTTGGTTGAATTTTCATTTTCGCATATCCCCGGGTCTCCTTTTATTTAACTGTGTCCCCCTTCTTGACTACTTTATTCATATGTAACAACGATATTGCTACGGGAATGTTTGATACAGTGTAACAGGTTCTGTTGCTGAAACTGGAGAAGATGTCGAAACTAAATACAATGAACGACGACTGGTCTCCTGTTTATAAAACACAACCCCACTGGCGCGGAACTAACTCACAGACTGGTAGAGCGAATACAAATGATGACTTTCAGTATGGATTTTTTATTTTCACATTAAATGAACGAATGATGTCAGTTCAAAAGGTTGACTCCGACTGAAGACTTAACTTCAGTCGACAAATTATAAAGATAGCCAATGTTCACAGGTTGCCAAAGAATTAAGATTAAATAATAATAAAGCTGACAAATTTTACAAACATAGAATTAGCACTTTGAAAGTAACAATAGTGGTATCCACAACGTATTCATACAGGTACAGATACAGAATGGACGATGATTGAAAAAACAGATTATTGTTATTATAATTTTACATGTACTGAACAAAAACTGATAATACGGACATTGACAAGAATGAACTCTATAAACATTAACGGATTGAAAAAGTAGCAGCACAAAATAAATCAATCGTATATATACTCAAACAATTGTATAGTAATGTACTGTAGCTTTTTGTCCTATGACTTTTTTTGTCCTATGATTTTCGTGTATTTTTATTCTGTGACTTTCTGTCCGTTAACCGTTGACTAGCATCGAAAACCAAAGAGATAAACAAAATATAAATTATCTTAAAAGAAACAATTTAAAACTATAAAATGGAAATAATTTGACAAATTGTTAATCGCGTTGTTTAAAAAAAGATACCTCAAATAATAGTTGATAAAATTGGATGAAGAAATTTAATTATTCAAGTTTCAAAAAATGCATTTTTCAGTTTATGAAAGAGTCGAAGGAGTTCTAAAAAAACCTGTGTGCTAAATATAATGCAATGATTCAATAAGTTGCATAGTGTTTTTCTACAGGTTAGATAAAACGACATGCGCTTTAAAGAGTTTATAATTTAGAATGATTTTAATTCGTTGAATAAGTATAAAAATAGCCGGGGGTTTTAATGAAATAAAGGAATATCCACCATTGAAAAACCTCTATAAGACCGGTGACAAACCATTTGCCCCAGTTTAGTGACTGCATTTTTATTCTCATAAACTGAATACAGAGAATGGTACACACATATGTATATAAATAGACTAACTACATGTATTTGTGAAGTACTACATATTAGTTACATGGTTTAACTAGCAGGACATACTTTCACATTAATAATTGTAATAAATTTACACAGTTTAGGTGTTATTATTGAAGACTTATATTCAACAGAATGTTTAATAATGGTAAAAACCGTGATTGGGAACATTCAACAACGGGTCATCATGGTCATCATGTGGACTACGGACATCATCAGCAGCAAGCTCAACAATTACAGTATTGTCAAAGATCAGCAGACGGTAACACAATTTACTATGTTAATTATTTTAAGATGATATCAAATTGATGGTCTTTAGATTTTAATTGTATTTTCACGGTTATAATTTACGCAACATCGAAAAGACATTTAAAATTGCAGAAATGCGCTTCTGACGCGAGAAATTTGGTCCCTTGAACGGTATAACACCTTTTGAGGGATAATTTTTATGTATAGTTTATGCATTCTCACGGTCATACCTTTTATACATAATGTATGGTATTGTTGGTATTCAAATTAAAATGTTTCATATTCATTTTTTTGTTGTTGCTAAATAGCTAGTGCCCAAATGGTATATGAAGTATATGGCAACTGCATAGCTATTTTGAAAGAATATGAACAAAGAGAGCAGAAAACAAGTCGGTTAACCAGATCAAATATAGAAATGGTTGACCAGTCTCATAAAGACGAAAATGACGTGAGTACTTAATGACAAATTAAAGTTTTAAATATATATATAAATTAAGGAAAAGAAACGTTTTGATAAAATTAGTCCGGATGATTTGTATGCATTGTATTCAAATAATATTAAGTTCAGTTAAAGTAATGATTTATGAATTAACGTGAAATACATCGATCATTGAAGCAAAACTTTTATACTAATTATTGTTGGGTCCTTCCTTCTCTATTGTTCGCCGGTCTATCTGTCTGAATCTGAATATCCACAAACTCTTGCAGGATATTATCATCTCTTCGTTCATCCTATTCTACTTTCGATCAGAAGATATAATGGAATTTGTCATATTTCGACTGAATGAGAGGGTTTACAAATCTGTGAGGCTTGCTTACAGTTTTTGTTTCTGTTTGATTTAATATCAGGTAAAAAGAATAGTGGAAGCTCAGTTATTGATGCTCGAGACTCAAATAAAAAGTTGCCGTGATGACGTTCGAGATAATGTGACACAACAGCTTAAGGATTCAACAATGGAATGGTGTGCTGAAAGACACGACAAACAGCTCTCTACAGACAGTTATACAGATAAATTTGCTGGACAGATATACGAGATTCTCTCTAGAGGGCGAACAACTCACCCAGAGGACTTTTACCAGAAGTATCTATAGAAAATACAGTATTTCTGAATTATACTCTAATAAATAGTAAAAGTCTATGATTACTACAAAATTTTAATAATCTAGTGTTCACCTTTCAAATACGTGTTCATATTGACTGCAAATTTTTCATGCTTAAAGAAATCATCAGCCATTATAATTGTAGTATTGAATGCTTTTTGTTGAAAGTTTAATCAAAACTAAAGCCAAGATCCAATTTTGCGTGGAGCGCGAATGCTGGATGAAATTGCGATCGTCACTCGCTTTCATTTTGAATGAAATTTCAAAAGACAGCATTCAATTCTTATATTTACAAATCTTAAAAATATATGTTATCAGCATTTTGAATATAAAAATTAAACATTAAACACAAAACGTCGGCATAACATTGATTAGTGATATGAAAACAATTTCAGCCTACGTGAAATCAATTGTACGTCATATAGAGAGAAATTCGCACCATAGAGATGTCGCTTTGAACGTGGATAGCTCATAAAATATATTAAATTTTGATAAATTATTATTTATCAAAGGATATTAATTCATTGATTCATATTTGTATTAACGTTTCATATTTACGATACATAATGTCAACTCCTTTTTCAAATTTATGAAAGTTTCCTTTTTTAATATTAAACGTTTGCTGCAAGTGCACGAACAATGTATCAAAATAGTGCTGATTTATGAGGTGGACTGAGTTAATAATTCTATGCCTATGCTTTAACATAAGTGTTATTAAAACATAAAAGTATCTATGAACCTATACTACTGTGATTGAAGGACTTTTAGAAAAAAGTTATGCTGTGAAATGAATTCCTTGAAAATTGCTTTACATTTTGATTCATATAATATGTATTGATTATAAAGTTATTTACTAGGAGGATCTGTGGTCTTACCAAATTCCATTTTGTACTGTAACATAAACATACAGTGATTTTCGGTGTTAGTTGTACATTTAGATAAAATGTGTATGTGGTTTACACCAAAGAGACAGCCAGCCAGTAATTGAGCCCTTTTAAAGGGAAATCACACTATTGTTTGTACGCATCGCTCTCGGCGCCGCTATAGTGTCGTGACCGTATTATGACGTCGCCGTTTCGAGTCCGTCGTAAAGGTTGCTAATTTCTAAAATGGCGGCCCGCTCAAAGGGACGTTCACTAAAGTAAGAGAAAGCAAATGACGTTTTGATTTAAGTGCAAAAAATGAAAATGCTACTCGAAACGGACAAAATGTATGGCAAAAAAATAGCCGAAAGTGGTCTTGATATGGTCTTGAATTATCTTACGATTGGGTTTTTAAAATTTAAATGAGTTACTCTCTTAAGTTAAATAAAGATATTATTATTATTATTATTATTATTATTATTGAGTTAGTATTTACATACAATACCATTTATACAATTATTTTTCTTAAAGGTTTATTAATTTCACCGAAAAATATTGTTAGATATGAGAAATATCAACATTTTTTGTTGATCTTGTCGTTATTATTTGTAGCGAAATCCGTCAGCTCAACTTTTTTTGTAGAAAAAACTTTTTTTATTTACTGTAAAGTTTATATTTTCTTATATTAAAATATTTATTGATCCCGCAGATTTCTTAGTTTCACGAAGAAAAAAAATATTTTTAAACAAAAGAGATATTTATAACACTTTTTGTCGATCATATTAGTATAATCAAAGCGTACATCGGCGAATGTGAAATCCGTCCGGTCAACTTTTTTTTTTAGAAAAACATTTTGTTTTACTATGAAGTTTAAATTTTCGTATAGGATAGCTATTAATCTCGCAGACTTCTTAGTTGTATGAAAAAATATTGTAAAACAAAAGAGATATTACTAGTAACACTTTTTGTCGATCAGTTCAATATTGTTAAGCGTACATCAGTGAGTGTGAAATCCGTCCGGTCAACTTTTTTTTGTTAAATATTCATAAAATATAGTCTAATATTTCTAAGGTCTTCAAATATTGAAATAATCTATCAAATAACAAAAAAGTTCTGACTATTTATATCTCATCTGGTCAATACGGGCAATTGTCCTGTCATTAGTGTAACCCAACTGTTGGCAGCGTATCGTCGCTAAAAAAATAACAATATTCCAAAAAAAGGGCCAACATGATATAGCAGAGTGCTGAAAGTGGCACACACAATCAATCAGTTATTTTCAAATTACCTATCATTAATCAGTTTTGGCAAAAAAAGGTATATAGGCTATGCCATACTGAAACATAAATGTGATAAAAGAATATACAATTCAAGAAAGAGAGGTGCACCAACAGAAAATAGAAACAGCAATCTTTCTTTTAATTTCACCGGATCTCAAATCTCAAAATTTTAACTCTTACCAGAATTTATTCTATCTTACAGTATAACTCGGAAGTTTCTAAGTGGAACTCGAGCTTTGACTAGAACTCTTACTCGAATTAACATTCGAACTAAAAATAAAACTGGAACTTTAACTCTAAATTTAGCTGGAACTCGAACTCTTATTCTACATCAAAGGTTATCCACACTCTCATTTGTCATCTGATAAAAAATTTCATAAGGGTTCCGTCCGCGGAACACAGTGTCTCGCCTACTTTTGCTGTTAATCGCAGGCTCAACAAAAATGAGGAAAAAATCGATAAAAATATTCCTCTCGATACTATCTTTTGATTGCAAGAAGCTTCTGTCCAAGTTTGGTATAAATCTAGGATAGTTTATGGATCTAATAAATGTTTTAAAAACTTTAACTGCATACTGTATGTAATGTTAACTAGAAGAAAAACTAAGTCTATTTATAAGTAAAATACGGATAAACAAGTACAAAATTTTGACAAAATTTCCTTCGAGATACAAGCTTTTGATCATAAACAAGCTTCTGTCGAAGTTTGGTACATATCCAGGATAGTTTAAGAAAGTTATTGAAATCTTAAAAACTTTAACCACAGAGTGAATGTATTGTTTGCTGGCAGAAAAACTATGTCAATTTATAAGTAAAATACGGAAAAAATGGATTTTTTTTTTACAAAATTTACTTCTGGATACTATCTTATGATCATAAACAAGCTTCTGACCAAGATTGGTACAAATCCAGGATAGTTTAAGAAAGTTATTAAACATTTAAAAACTCTAACCACAGATTAAATTTATTGTTTTCTGGCAGAAAAACTAAGTCCATTTATAAGTCAAATATGGAAAAACAGGAATTTTATTTATACAAAATTTACTTCTGGATACTATCTTATGATCATAAACAAGCTTCTGTCCAAGTTTGGTAGAAATCCAGGATAGTTTAAGAAAGTTATTAAAACTTCACAGAGTGAATATTTGTGGACGCCGCCGCCGCAGCCGCCGACGACGACGACGACGACGTCGCCGACGACGACGACGCCGACGACGGAATGTAGGATCGCTATGTCTCGCTTTTTCGACTAAAGTCGAAGGCTCGACAAAAAACTAGAGTTAGATAAAATATATCGACATGTCAACAGAAACACGGATAGATGTAGCAGAACAAGAAAAAAAAACTAGATCCGTTTGTTACAAATTAAAAGATTTTTTTAAATACATATCAACTGGGAACATTATATGTTGCTGATATCAATATGGCGATGTGTATTTTATTGTCAATTAACTCTAAATTATCAGATGCATTGTATTTCTCATAACATACCAACGTTGAGCGATTAATCGAACGGTAATAGAATATACGTAATACATAAAGTTTTAATACACAGGCGATGAACATTGAACATATTATATACAATGAACACGAAACGATGTATGAAAAATGGGTGCGGGATGATAGAACTCAGAAAAAAAATTGGTTTCCACAGTTCGAATAAATTATGAAGCGTTGTGTAATTACGGAACCAATTTTAAATTCCTACCGAAAATAGGTTTCTTTTAACGTGCTGAGTTTGTGGCATTTTTAACACGGCATTTCAGGTTTTATCTTCCCGGTGCGAATGGACAAGCTAGTGAAATTATGGTAACGAAATTATTCTGCCTGCAGTCTAAACGGAACGTGTTACTTTTCAGCCCGGATACCTTCAGTCTTCCGAGGTAGAAGATTCTTTATCTGGAAGCCGAACATTATTTCTATAATACGGCATGAGGCAAACATTCGTTTTCCCCATACAACAAATGCAATTAAAATCAAAGTACTGAAGTACTGAACATCGGATGACCACAAGTTCTTGAGGATGGTCAAAAGCACTTGTCTCAGAAAAAAAAACAACATATCTCTTTACCTGAAACTGAGGTTAATGTACAGAGATATATTTTTTTCTAGACAAGTGCGTGCGAGTATGATGAATAAATGACAGGAAATTCAACTTCACCGTAATAACTATTATATTGTAGTGATACAAATCAGTATACACTGATTTGTTGTTATATATTATATTAAAATAACAGTTACATATATATATGATTTGCATCCGTTTGTATATCATTCTATTCTACTGTTCTAATAATAGTGCAATGCAAGTGCATGGTGGACACTTTTCTGTAAAAATTCGATTTTTCTAAGATTGGATACGAGTAGGCATTCATATTTTCCCGCAAAAACAATTACAGAGTTACCGGTCCTGTCGTAAAACGTTCTTTGAGATATTCTTCCGCATGCTTTAACACAATTTTTCGGTACGTGTGCATTGATATTATCAATGATTTTTTACTTATATATATATATATCTAACTACAAAACATTTTCACATTATTAATTTATGTTGTAAACGAAAATATTTTTATCAGTATTCATTGAAGAGATGTATTTATATCAAATGACAAGGAATGTTATTTTGCACTCGTTTATGTGCGCATATTTATCATGTTTATAGATCGGTTACAAACCCAAAACTAATTTACATAATGGAAATCTAGGCGATAGCAATACATCCCGAATGACCTCAAGGTCATCGCGATGTAAAAATGAGATGACTTCAACTTTGACAGTTACTTTATAACAAACTGTTATTGTATCTATGTTTAACGTTTCGATAGATTGATAAAGATATCAATGAATAATCAAAATACCTTAAAAAATGTTCAAAAATGATATTATATTTTGTAGTGAAAAGGTTTATTTCAACCCAAGCGTTGCAAGAAATGCTGTTATGCCAGCAACGTCGTTCTATAACGTTAAAAGGTTATAGTTCCCGCCAAAATTCAATAATAAAGATTATTTCCGGATTTAAAACATCGGTGACCCCCCTTTTTTATTTATGCTTTTAAAATCTTCCCCGAAGCTGCAATTTTTGCAGAAGTTTGAAGGGAAAAACATTAGTAGATTTTTTTTATTTCAAGAAAAATCTATTATAAATAGCAATTTAAAATGGCGGGAAATGTTCAAATGCCTTCAAAAATAAGGAAACCGAGACAAATAAATGTTCATAAGGTACAAGTTACATTTGACTGTTTTTGTTATTCCAGTTAAACATGGTTTTTCAATAAGTTTGTCTTTTTTTAACATTTTAGAGCGGTATTTCTATATTTCGTTATAACGCGATTCTTTAAGTTTTGATGACGTCATATCTCGAAAACAACATCGGTGACCCCAATTTTTTTTTCGCCTAAAATATCTTAATAAGTATGATCTGTCTACATGCAAAATTTCAATGAATTATTATTAGTAGTATAAATAGTGTGATTTCCCTTTAAGACGTTTAATACCATAAAATGCATGCGACTGATGGTGTTACTAATGGTTGATAATTAGTAAATAAAGGCAACAGTAGTATACCGCTGTTCGAAACTCATAAATCGATAGAGATAAAAACAAATCCGGGTTACAAACTAAAACTGAGAGAAACGCATCAAATATAAGAGGAGAACAACGACACAACAAAAACACAAGTAAGTTATTCATTTACAGAAATAATAGTATATTGAACTACATTATAATTATATTATAATGAATATTTACAGACCCGGTGAAGTAGCAGATGTAAGCATAGAAGAAATGCAACTTGTATTGTCTGCACAACACAAAATTAAAGAAAATGACAGAAAATTTGAAGGAAATCCAACCAGAAAAGCGAAAACACCAAGTGTTAGATCTGGGGACAAGAGAATAGGTGCGATACAAGTATTTATGACTCATCAACGTGTGTTTACCTAAGAAACATTGCGGAACACATGAGTTCATCACCATTAGTTTTTGTTGAGTTCCTGTTACTACAGTACATTGTAGTTGTCCGTGAAATCATATATTATTAATAAGGCATGCTATATGAGACAGCAACCAACCGACATATAAACAAACATCTAGATGTTTCGAAATGGCTTTAACAATAGTCATAATGTCAAGTTATCAATCGCCGTGAATGTAGAAAGTTTTATAAAGGTAATAAAGACTATTCAAGATATGCAGATATCTATTTTAGTGATGTCACGTCTTCACAAAACTGTCAGATTCATTGTCGAAAAATGGTATTTTCTATATATCCCAGCACAGCCTTGTACATTCATACAATTGGACTAAACTGATATTTCGCATTTGAAAAGTCATTTCCTAATGTTATGAATAAACTTTCATAAATATTAGATTTATTTTTTTAATGTATTTTTCAGTCCTTAACAATAACTATTTAATAATATAGTAATTAGAGTATAATATTGTAGGTGCAGAGAGACTACGAACAGTACGCAGGGATCTTCAGCAAGACATTCCTCCAGAGTATCTAGATCAGAGTATGAGATAAAAACGGCTGAAATCAAAACATTTCCAAAACGTATTGATACTTGACAATATAGTAAAGAAGATAAAATGATTACATGTTAAATAAGACGCATCATTTTTTATTCACTATTTTGACATTTTGAATGTTTTGATAGTTTTGTTATTTTAGATTTACTCAAAATGTTTAATTATTTACAGTGTAACGTATGATGTATATGTGTAACATTTTTTTTTAATATTAAAAACCCAAATATTCAGTGTTTCTCTTACTTTGGTTTCCTGTTTCATAACTTTTGGAGATCTATGAAATCTTTCATATGTTGAATGAATTTATTATATTCGACACACATTTATCAAGAACTACTGCATACAATGACTTCATATCTGTTAACATCTTGACATTGATGAAAATGTGAGTGCTTTTCGGTTCTGTCAGACTTTTTTCGCCTGAATTCTCATACTTTGAATTACAATTCATACACGAATATGCGCGAAATTTCTTCTGGTTAACATTAGTTCATACGAAAACAATTTGTTTGTATTAAAAAAAAATCCATAGAAATTTAATCCTTAGGATATATATTTTACATAAATTAAAACAAAAAATGTATCTATATTTATACGATTAAAATCTACTAGCAAACTAACAATACAAAAACATAAATAAAATACGGAAGCGTAGAGGGGCCTTATGTTAGTTAGTTAGCAATGCTTGAGAAAACTTCATTAATACAATATCATGCACTATATTGCATTAAATTGTTTTAATTTAGATTATTTACTAACTTATAAGAGATTAAACTCATTTATTTATGCCAATATTATTTCTTACTAGTTTTATGGATGTAAATTTAAATATCTTTATTTCTAAAATTTATTAAGTTGCATTAAATAAAACACTTTAATGTTAAGGTAACTTAATTAAGGAGTTTTCATCAATTATACTGTTTTAAATTGTTTTAATTAAGTTCATTCATAAACTTTTGATAGATAAATCCAACCGAATTAAGTCATTTTATTTTAATTAAGTTATTTTATTTTCTTATTCATCTAAAAAGTTTAAATTTGAAAACTGTATTTCTAACATGGCATAACTAAAGCAATTTAACTGAAATGGTGTGTATATGCAGCAAAAATACAGACGCCAAGAGATGGTAAAAGCTTACATTTCCTTTTAGGAAAGGTGAGCTAAAAATCTTCCTTACCCTCCCATCACCCCGTTTCCAATAGAAAATTGAACGACAGCGATGTTTTTTAAACAAATCAAAACTGTGGACAAAAGTATAGAGTTAAGTACACTAACTGAAATCTGAGAAAAAGTGAGTAAAATGTCCCTTTGAATGATAAAGTAAAAGTCACCTGCTTTTCTAGAAACACCTGTCGAGTTACTCATAATATCATAAACGATAAAGCAACGGTAAGTAAACCTCAATGTATACAAGAAAAAATATTCCGTCATTTTTATGTTGTTGTATTTTAAGCATTTTAGCTCAACGGACCCCAAGAGCACGTGAGCTATTGTCATCACTTGGCGCCAATCGTCCGCCAATTAACTGTTCACATATTCATCGCCTTTTTGCGAGCCTTTGAGCAGAATTCAACCAATCTTGACAAAGATGTTGCCCATGAGTTTCTTCATGAGATCATGAAGGCATGACGATTCATATGGCTGCCATTTAAAAAAAAAATAATTTGGGACACAGTCCAAATTAGTACTGGTGGGTTTAGCCGGATACTCTTCTTTGAGGATGCGCGTTAGCAAAGCGCGACGCGCATTTGCCCATTGGGTCTTTTCGACATATATCGTAAACATAGAAATATCTTATTCAAAGAAAATGCGTTGCATAAGTTATGGACACGTTCTGAAAACGTTACTAACACGTTGACACACGTTGGCATACGTTGTTGAACGTCGGTTTCGTCGCAAAATATTGGACATGCTCAAAATTGTTAACGTGTACCAGCGTGTTAAATAAATAATAATAATACTAATAATAATAAATTCTTTATTTAAAGAGGGTAACTCAATAAGAACTCGTCCAATTTTCATTCAGGCCCTCAAACAAAATACATGTATACAGTTAACATTCATACATCAAAATACAATATATATATATACAATTCAATCATTCAAACATTTAAATGGCAACAATTGATAAAGTTTTCATATTCTAACCATAAAAGAAAAATTATTTGACTTGCATAGAATTTTGAAGAAAATGATTATAACATTGTTTCTTGAATAATTCCACATTACGACAATTTTTTATTGTGAATGGTAAATTATTCCATACCTTGGTTGCAGAATAATGAAAAGATTTTTTATAAAAATTTGTATTTGGTCTTGGAGCAAATAGATCATTATTAGAGACAGATCGTAAGTTGTAGTGTTTAACATCATTAATATTTAGCATTGCTAAGTAATCAGGTGTAAGTCCATTTACAATTTTATACATTAGAATTGATTGTTGGTATTTTCTTCATTTTGTAAAAGATAGCCATTTTAAAGAAAAAATCATAAAATTAGATGGAACAGAAATATCACATTCAAGTATAATTTTTGCTACTCTTTTTGGAAGTTTTATGATTCTATTTGAATCTTTTTTGTAATAAACTTCCCCAAACTGAACTACAATAGTCGATATATGGTAGAATATATGCATTATAAAATAGTTGTCTTATGTGTATAGGCAAATATTCTTTAAGTTTATACAAAAGATATATTTTAGATGAGATAATCTTACATATACGATCAACATGTTCTTCCCAGCTTAAATTTTCATCAATGTCAATTCCAAGTAATTTGAAAGAATGGACATTCTCAATACAGGTTTTGTTGATGGTAATACATAATTCTGATAGTTGTGTAAGTTTTTGTTTTGAAATCAATTTCAAAGACTTTGTTTTTTGTGCATTAATTTTCATACTGTTATTGTTACACCAATTTAACTCATTTTGCTGTTAATTTTTTCAATTTTCTTATCATGAAAATGTAATGTTGAATCATCAGCATATACATCCATGTTGAATTGTTTAACACGAAGTGGTAAATCATTGATTTAAAATAAAAATAACAGAGGACCTAAAATAGAACCTTGAGGCACTCCATATTTTACAAACGTTTTATCAGATTTAATGTTTGCGTATTGAACTTCTTGTTGTCTTTCAGACAAATATGATTCTATCTAATTTAGCATATGTTCTCCGATATGATAAAATTTTAGCTTTTCTAAAAGTATGGCACGGTTAATAAGACCAAAAGCCTTACTGAAATCCAAAAACACAGTACCAACTATTTCTCCATTATCTAAATATTTGAACCATTCATCAATTAAGATAGACACACGTTAGACGAACGCCAGAGGTAAGTTATACACACGTTCATGTGCGCTATATAGTAGTTTCTTGCACGTAGAATGCGTCGGAATGTATTAGATGGACTCTGATCGAAACGAACGTGTACAGCGTTTGTTTAACGATAATAAAAAATTCTAACGTCTAACGCACTAGTATTATCGAAAGTTACTCCTTAACGTCTAGGCAATATTGGCTTTTCTTCGTCCTCTCCTGTTGGACTTGAGAAATTAATATGGCGGCCATTTTTGAATTCAAAGTGGCTGCCAAAATACAAACATACTCCGATTTAGACGAAATTAGGTTTCCAAGTAGATTATGAGATGGCGAATGCTGTCCATCATGAAAATTTTATGATCGTCAACCATTTTCAAAATGGCCGCCAATATAAAAGAAAATGGGAATAAAAATGCTATGGCCCGGCTCAAAATAGGGTAAAATGGCTATTTACAATGAAATATAGGTACGTGAGAGGACTTCAACGTTTCGTTAAACGTAAATTTTAATTTTGATTGGTTTTTCCTACAATCATCGGAAAGTCCGAGTGCTTTAAATATACGAAGAGAAAAGACTATGGAGATAGTTATATATGTAGCAATCCTACGTGTAATAGTTTGTTTATGTATGCATTTTTTTTATGACCATGACCATCACACCGGGTGTCTCTTGAGAGGCAGTAGACGCTTAATCTGCCGTCACACCTGGTCTAACCCGGGTTTTTATGTTTCCGTGACGGCCATTGTTACGTTTTATGTTTTATTTTATCGATTGCGCAAATTCTGCTCCTACTTATGACTTTGAATTACCCTTGGAAAAGCGGTTCGGTTTTTGATTCTTTTTGGACTAAGGCATTATAACGATTTCGAATCATCAGTCCAAAACATAGAAATCAAGAATCCTGTAGCAGCTCCGGATAGTTTATTACTTAGTAACGAACATGAAACTTTTTACATGGGTACGGGGCATTTCATATTCTAAAATCAGGAAATACTTAAAGCGGCATTAGCTGTCAAATTCATGTTCACCTATTTGATTCAAATTCTCATATTCGACTTATAACATACTAAAACGTATATCCAAATTAAAAAAAAGTCTTAAATAAACAATTTACGATGCACAAACTCGATAGTATGTATCAGCATTTCGTGTGTATTTTAGTCTAGACGCCATCTAATTAACCATCGAGGTCACCTTCCGAAGACTGCCGACGGTCAAATAACCAGATATAAACATACATATAGATATAAATAGATAGCGACATCGTGCAATTGGACTTTTCTAGGTCAGTTTGATTTCATATCATAGGTTAAAACAATATGTAAATAATCGTTTTTACCTGTATAAGAATGAGTTTTTGTAGATCGAATAAGCCAACCAAATGGTTTACCCTTGTTTTACCTACAATGTTGACATGCCTTTCCTTTTAATAGCTGAACACGCATAGTTCATGCGTAACCCATCTCTAACTAATGGCTTCAATTGAAGTTCACACGAACACTGATTAAATGAGATCGAATTATTCACTTGCAAGTGAATAATTCATTAGCGATGTTTCTTTGCTTAATTTGACAAAACTAAACCAAACTGGCTGCTAAAATCGAATTATTGTTTCACTATTTCACTTTCATTAATGATTGAACAAAAAATATTGTATCTTATTTTTTTTTATATCTCGCAGCTAATGCACTTTTGTCATGTATTGTGTTCTATATGATTGCCTCATGTATTAGAGTTACGTCCTTTAGGGAGCTACCATTTGCTTTTTATGGGGGGGGGGGGGGGGGGGGGGGGAGGATGAAATTTGAAAAAAAGGCAGGACAGGAGTTTTGAGTAAAAAAAAAAGGCAGTTTGCGAAAAAAAGGCAGGATGACAATTTATGTAAAAAAAGTCAGAATAAACTAATAAAAA